AAAATACCCCTCCAAAATCAGAAAATTCGAAAATCCAAAGAATAGATACTTTTCTTTGTATTTCTTGTCTGTCAGTATTATTTTTTTTATATAAAAATTTCGAAATTGTCATCACTAGCGAACGGATGATCTGATTCGGTTCGGGTTTGTCTGTCAGCATTCATACTTCCCAACTAGGAAAAAGCCAAAATGCTCAAAGTGAAATGAAATGTTAAAAAAATAGATACAAGCTCATTGGGCTTATATCACAGAAAATTTTTATTTTATAATTCGATAGAACTCACCCAAACTAGCTCACCACCGCAAACCGTTTCTTGCTGTGAGCTCCCTACGTTTCATAAAAAATTATTGAAATCCCCGATTTTTCGGACCTCTGAAAACAAGGCGATGATGTGACGTCAAAACCCTAATACTGAAACAAGACTATTCCAGGCAGAAATGAATGATACATCATTTCTGACAGAGGGAATTAGCGCGAGATCACAGTTGAAAGAATTAATATATCAGTTGCCTCAGTCTCCGTCGGGCGTTTGGTATTTTCTTTTAACTATGGCGAGATGAGGTTTCTACGTCATGAGAGGGTCCGTTTTCAGAAGGTACAATTATTTATGTCCAAAAATAAAGCATTCCAGTTAATTTTTCGATCGAATTTTGTCGTCAATCATTATTTATGTATAAAAGGATCATTATTAACATGGTTTGAGTTAAAAGTTCTACTAAGGTGTACACGCCCATTGCATCACTATTCGTTTATTTGAATAGATGCATAATAGATTTCGGGAGGATGTAATTCAATGTTCTGCGTGGTATTAGTCAGGAAAGTACTTGTTTTTCTCCCGTCATCTACCATTGATGCTCATTTTCCGAACAATTGTGGCAATGACTTTAAGCTTGTAGTTATCTATTTATTTATTCATACTTCACAGAAAATTCAACTCCAAAATCAGAAAATTCGGGAATCCAAAACATCGATTTTTTTTATATAGGTAATTAATTGTCTGTCAGCATTCATTTTTTTCATGAATATTCCAAAATTGTCATATCTACCGAACGGAGTGCCAAATAAAGCCGGATTCGGAAAAATTAAGTATGAAGAATTCCAATGAAATTATGTTCTCACCGGTTTTCACTATAATATTCCGATGGATTCCAGGAGTTCCAAGAATTATAAAGCTTCAATTTAGGAAGAAATCCGAAGGAATTCTACAGAACTTCAATAAAAATATAGAAATTTAACAGCAATCAGGCCCATTTTTAAGAACACAAACTCTCAATTTTCGAAGGGATTCCAAAAAGTTCCAAAGAATTTCAAGGATTTCAAATGAAACCAATTTTTTTTCAGTTTTTGTAATGGTAAAATCTAGTCAAATATCACTCAGCCAATCTAATACTGATATATCTTATTATTATAAAAGACCTAATATCAATAAAAATTTCACGTTTGAATCGCATCCTTTTTTGTTTGAATATTTCCGCATCTTGTTTCAGTTCTAAAACAGATTAAATGTTTTTTTAAATAATTTCATATAAACTCCTAGATAAACTAAATATTTTGCGAGTTTGTTATTTCAGTAGGTACCAGCCTATTTCAATATACCTTAGTTTTGTGTACCATGAGGAGTAATCTCAATGGATTTTTCTGAACTGAAATGTTAATTTACCAAATACAATTAAATTTTTCTGACTAATAAGGTTAACAAAAATGTTTAATTTTCGTTGAGCAGTAGAAAAAGGAAAATTAGTCTCAGGAATCTACTAAGGCTGACTGTATATGTAATTCAAAAACAAAAGGTTGCTGGACACATGTTCATTTCATATTTTGATGCCAAGTATATGTTCCACCATGTATACATCAATTCCTTATGGGTTAGATAAATTTTGTTTGAAAACACTGTACAATCTTTCATTGACAGAGAGACTCACCTTTCTATAGTTTAATTATTTGTAGTTATGGAACACTGCTTCAATGAAACTGGTCACAGAGTAAAATAAAAACATAACTATAGGTACTGGTAAAAACATTTTCTGACAAAACAAACAAATTATGATACATTTATAAAATCAAATCAATGAATAGGTATCTGCCATTGTATTTTTTTAATTGAACTAATGCAATAATAACAGACATGGATATGTAAAACCTCAGGCTGAATAAGATAAGAAAAACCAGAATGAAAAACAGAACTTTTTTATTACCTACTGGCAAAAAAATCGCACAGTTTATAGTTTCATATCTGGGAACTAGATAAGGAGTATTCATTTATGTTATTTATACATTAATTGAGTGGTAGCTGTTCTAGAAAAACCTTCATTGTTTTCTGCTTTGCAATACTATATTTTCCTTGTAGTTATATGATTGTTTTTCACTGTGAGCCCCTGAATAAAAATTGAAAATATAAATAGAATACTAATGATGTAGCAATTTGAATGAATACATTATGAGGAACCACTTTCATCATAGTCTACAGTCTATCAGAACCACTTCAGTTTTTTTTTTAATTAGGATCTTTAAGCTTGTAACAAATTATTTGCATAAAATTTTGATTTTTCACCAATAACCCACAAAAAATTGCTTGAAATATTGGGTGCCAATGAAACATGTATTCAGTTGATTCAGCATACATACATAAAGTGAACGATATGTACCTCAAAATCAAACATGAAAGGCATGATCATACAACCATATAAGGAAGGTATGAATACCTATGGAGAACATTCATTGAACTACAGGCATTAAGCATAACATAGGAATATATTTGATTATGGATATTCTTTGAAACAAATACAAACCAAACAATTAGTTATCAGCAAGGTTACCAATATGTTATTGAAATTCAGGATCTGAATGTTTTTATCAATACTAATACTGCTAATGATATACTAATTGTATAATCAACTAATGATCATAATAGCTATAACCAAGTATAACTTTGTACCATAGTCTCAGAGATTAAATTGATGATGCACTTACTCATTTCTCTCACATGAAGAATCAATCTGGCCACAAATCCTAGATATTCTTCTTTGGTTTTTGCTTTCTGGAAGACATGATTTTCCATCTCAAGACTATTTCTTGAGGTATTCATTCCAGATTGACGGATTGCTTCATCCCTTCATGGATATGAATAGGAAATTCGTTATTAAAAAATTATGAAGTTATTATGTTGTCTAACTTACACTTTTGCTACAACACTCTGCCTAAATGCAGGTGTTCTCCAAGAATTCTCGTCCGTCATTGATAAGGAGGCTTACAAATCACCTATTATAGGAAAGAAGACTACAGCAACAGGGTAGGACCCAAGAACTTCAGAAAGACACTACCACTAGTTTTGAAAACATCAGATTTTCATCAGAAAATCAGAAAACCAGAAAATGGTTAACAAGCATCAAGCACAAGAAAAGAGAACTTTGGGAGTTTGGTATATCATTTATCCAAAGAATATTCGGTAAAACTGCATTTAGCATGCGATGGGTTTTTTTTCGAAAATTTTTTTTGGTACTTACGTATTTTTGTCTGAAAAACACGAATTTGATAATGAAAATGTGAACAAACCATTATTTATCAAGATATTTCACTATAAAGTTTCAAATTTCACCTTCTTTTCCGCCTGTCTTCTGGATTGAATTTTAAACAATTCACCCTTCTTTTTTCATCATTGGACAATTTATATATATCACAATGTAAGACACATTTTTTTCTATTATTGAGTCAACTAGAAATATGATTTTCTTGTGATTTATCCATATTTATTGAAAAGAAGGAAGAATATCATTTGAAATAATGGCGTGTGTAATGTCATTCCAAAACAATCTATTGACATTTGACATCTCGTATTTGGATTGCCTATGGATAAAATGGCCGTCATCTGGTATGCTTGCTCACTAAATAGGAAAAACTCACCATAAAAATCATATTTCCTGTTGAATTTTCTGTATAAAAATGTGTCATTGAAGTACATCATGAGTATATAAAGTGTCCAATGACAAAATAAGAAGAGCAAGTACCTGAAAATGCATCCAACGCAAGGGGAAAAAGGAGTCGAAATTTCGAACTTTTTTTTGAAATATCTCGATAAATAGTGGTTTGTTCACATTTTCATTATTATATTCGTGTTTTTCAGACAAAAATACGTAAGTACCAAAAAAAAATTTCGAAAAAAAACCCATCGCATGCTAAATGCAGTTTTACCTTATATTCGATAAAATCTTTATTAATTAAATTCCATTTTGATTTAAGGTCTAATAATATTTATTATTATTAACAATATTTAACATCCTTCACCTTCGCACCACAAACAAATCAAAAGTCAAAACAAAAAACCAAAAGAACATAAATTAACGAGTCAAATCTGTCAAAAAGGATCTGTCAATTACTCCCACTCGTCGCACTAGCTCGAACTTCTCCTGCACTGAACATTTCTTGTCTTTCTTTACTTTGTGTAATTATTGAAGGATGGATGCACTGCATACCTTGGGTCTTGTTTATGATCTAAGGTTGGATTAGAGTCTATTGCCATTACCGGCAATGCACGAATACAATCCGACCTGAAGTGAAATACAACAAATCTCTCAACAATTAATTCTCGAGGTGTGGATTGCTTCCTTTTCTTTTTTCAAGTAATCAATCGGCGAAAATACTTTGGAAACACTTACTGTTGAGGCCGATAGTGTGATTTTTCGCTATTTCAATGACGTTTTTCAGCATTGGAATTGGAAAAAAATTTGAGAAGAAGATTATATTAACCTCAATTGACGGCTTGACAGTTTTGTTTTGAGTGTTTTGACAGGCATTCATTTTCATTCAAAATTTTCAAGAATTGATTTGTTTTGTTTATGGTCTCAAAATAATAAAACCTTTTCTTCGAAAGTAATTGAAAAAAATACAAAATATAATTGATCACACAAATACCTACAGGATGGAAAACTGTTTTAATTGGTGAAGTTATTCAACATTCTGAGATTTTTGAGGAACATCAATAATTTACCAAGTGTGTTCAGCTATGGAATCCCCACTTGCAAAGTTAGATTTTGAGAAAATCTGCAGAATATGTATGAACGAGGGCACCATGATGTCAATTTTCAAAGTCAATGTATCAAAGAAAATGATGGCCTGTGCGGCAGTTCAAGTATGGCCAAATGATGGCTTACCTGCACAGATTTGTAACAGATGTTCAGCCAAGCTCCATATTGCTTTTCAGTTCAAAAAACAATGTGAAAAGTCTGATGGAAAGCTACGTCAAATGAAATTTAATAGACCACTTGATGTCCCACAAGAACAAGTACAGTTGCAAGAAGAAATCCAATCAAACCAAGTAGAACCACAGCAAGTCATCACACAAGAACTGTCTCAAACAGTACCTCAAAATAACTGTATTTACATTGGATGTAACCCTGGGGCTGAGCCAATTCAGGGCACATTCATTTCTACAACTCAGACTCAACCTCAATCCTTGGGACAAATGGGTTATCAACCTGAGAATAATGTGCAATTAAGTGCTTATAGTTTGAATGATGTTGGTCAACCACAGGTGTATACTAGCATCAGTGGGACATTTGATATACCTTTACAGCCTGTTACAGGGATTTTGCATAATCAAATGGCACATCAAATTCAAGTATGTCAGAGAAACTGTTGGATACCAACCAAATGAAAAGTATAAGTTAAATTCTAGGGTGAACTTATCAGTATAACCATGCAATTCTAGTCAAGTACTAATTATGAAACTATTAGTAGGTTATCTCTCATAACTATTGGGTGGCAATTCACCTAGGATATTTTGTGGAAATTGAAATCTCCTGTTCAGCACAGGCCAAAGCAACAGATCTTGAGAATTTAATTTTGTAGGAAAAGATCTCTTTCAAGTGATTTGATTTTTGCTCAGATTTTTGCTCTAGGGAAAAAAATGAAAAACTTTTCTTCTTCTAGTTGCAAACCCAACATGTTACCTCTCTACAACCCCCACCATTACAACCTAGACCAATAGTGCAAACAGAGGACAATGATGACAAAAGCCCCACTGAAGGCTCTGAGAAACAGTGCCCCACCTGTAAGAAAGTATTTGGAAATGCTAACAAACTTTCCAGGTAATTTTCTCCTACAGAAAACTATTTCTATTTATAATGAATTGATGAATATTCTCTACATTTCAGGCACAGGAAGACCCATTCACCTGATATGCCTTACAAGTGCAAGGTTTGTGCCAAGGCTTTCTCTCACAGTGGTAATTTTAAAATTCATATGAGAATGCATACTGGGGAGAGACCTTTTAGGTGCATGGTGTGTGGAAAAGGTTGCAGACAAGCACAAGACTTAGAGAAGCATATTCGAACTCATACAGGTCAGTAGCAAACATTGTCCAATATAACAGACTTACTCTTTAATTCTATTGTGTGAATTTTTATGTAATTTATTAAATTTTGAGAACAAACTCAATTTTTAAGAAGACAGGTATCTTGAGGACCAAGAGGATTAGAGGGTGAATTGAGACAAAGTTTTATAACTGGGGAAAATATCACAATTTACAAGTAAAAGACAGAATTTCAATCTACATGATTCTATTTTCACTAGTTGTTTACCTTCTTTATATAAATAAACGAATATATAAAAAAAACTGAGGGTAAATTCTGATGACAATTTTTTATAAAGTAGATTTTGGGTCAGATTGTGGAAAAATTGTTTTTTTTTTTAATTTTTTTAGTTCCATTGTACTGTTGAGAATTTGTTAATGCATTGTTTTCAAATTTTGACTCCCAAAAATCCACTCAGCAGGTGGCGATTTTTATGTAGAAATATCACTTTGTCCTGAGGTGCAGTTTTTTGTGTTCTACAAATCAAGAAATAATTTTAAATGGTTCCCTTAATCAAGTTGACTTTAGTGGCTTTGTATAAAATTTCATGAAAATTATGGTCCCAGATCCTTATGCCTAAGAATTTTCCAATACCTTAAATAAACATAGAAAATAAGTTCTTTTCAGATCTTTCTTTATGTAGATCCACACCTTGATCCACACAGTTCCCTCTCTTTCTATTTTTGGGGTTATATGGTCAGAAAAATAGTTCATGTTTCATTGACTTTTGCTTTGCTTTCTACAAAAATATATTTATATCAAATATTTACATACAGGCCTATTTAAAGGTTGCTGTATATTTTTATGAAATTTCATCGCTAAACATTTTTTAATGAGGTTTAATTCTCCTGTACAATGTGTCACTGTTTCCTGGAGTAGAGTAAGTTTATAGTAGTTTTTCATGTTATAGGTGAAAGACCTCACAAATGCGCGACTTGTCCAAAAGCCTTTTCTACCCGATCAAATCTTATCGCCCATATCAGAACTCATACGGGCGAGAGACCATATGTATGTTGTGTCTGTCAAAAAGGCTTCTGTCAGTCCAACGAACTCACGAAGCACATGCGGACACACACGGGAGAAAAGTCGCACATATGTGATATTTGTAACAAAGGTAAGATACTGTGTGGTAACTTTTTTCCACTTTTATGAGTCCAGAGTGGAAATGTGCTTGTATTGTTTCTAGAAACAACATTTTCATGATGAGATAAAAACATTAAACAAATATTGTTGTTACAATCCACAATATTATATCTTAGAAGATTGTAACTAATAATTATATCAATAAACGATCAAAAACTTTTATTCAGATCACTGACATCAATCTGACAATAATCTAAAAAATTCGAATGACATCCATCACTCTCAGTTTCAATAACAAAAAAATACAGGATGGTAAATTATTTCAATATTTAACTTTCTCCAACCTCCAGCTTAAGAAGACTGTTTACTGGTCTAACCAACGTCCATGGGTCTAACCAAAGTGCCCTCTTGTGTCTTGATTTCTATTGAAATAACTTACCATCCTGTATTATTTTGTTATTGAAACTGAGAGTGATGGATGTCATTAGAATTTTTTGAATTATTGTCAGATTGATGTCAGTGATCTGAATAAAAGTTTTTGATCGTTTATCGATATATTTTTCAGTTACAATCTTCTAAGATATAATATTGTGGATTGTAACAGTGGTCCTTCGAGCCGGATCACTGACATCAATCTGACAATAATTCAAAAAATTCTAATGACATCCACACAAAAAAATACAGGATGGTAAATTATTTCATTATTTAACAATTGTATTGAAACAAATGAGTCTCCATCAGTAAACTATAGTGCCATTGACAGACAGACAAATTTTGGTTTATTACTAACGACGTTTTTATCTGGAATGACAATATACTGAGGAAGCATGTCTTGGCTATTCATGAAATGACCGAATTTCACTATCAATACAGGTATAAGAAAACATCATTGAAATACTTGCAAAGTCTTCCTTTGAAACATCACTTGAAAATGAAAGAAAAAAATGTTTTCCGGATCTAAACACATTAGGTATCTACTTGGGCGTGTCAATTAAAGTATGGGCAAGTGGACTGACAATGAATTATTGGCATTCACTTACTCCACTGTGTCCAAATTAATTTTTGCAACACTTCAGATAATCTTCCATTTAATCTCATGAAGCAAGGTTGTCATGTCACCAATTATAATCAAGTTATCAAGAAGATTAGTCCACACATGTCGACAGTTGGCTAATCTCTGTCTTCAAGCTTCAAGTAAATTGCAACTTGAAAGACTTGAATCATTGTGGGAGAATGAATGGAATTAGCTGTTGAAACTCTTTGAATTATCCAAGGTGTCTTCCTATAAAACTAAGGAATACTTATTTGGCTAATAGATTTAGCGACAAAACCGCTAAGGCCTGGGTTCTCTGACCAGATCGGCCCGAAATATTTCGGCGAATATCAGCGTACAGAACGTGGATATTCGCCGGATTCAGTTCGTTCAGAAGTTTCGTCTATGTGTGGTTTGTCTGAAGAAAATTTCCGTAAATTTTCGTTCCGATATATTTCAGTCTTCTCGTAGGGTGTTTGCGGCGAAATCAAAATGAAAAATGGATTTTTTTATTGCTATGATTTTAGAAGAAGAATATGATGACGATGATGAGTATGCATTATTAGGAGTATGTACTAAAAATAATAAAGTTCTGAACATGTCGGAGAAAAGGGCCGAAGAAGGTGTTTATGAGTTGTTAGTGGTGAACCATCTTTCGGATAATGATACAAAATTCAGAGAGTTTTTCTGTTTTACTCCATCACTATTCCATGATCTACTGAATCATATAAAGCAGAAAATCACTTCGCTACCTACAAATAAGCATCCGATTCCTATTTCTCCCAAGTTAGGTGTCACATTGAAGAGTATATGCATAGTTTTCATGTCAAAAATAGGAAAATCAAAAAAGTAATATTTTATTTTTGTATACAAAAGTACTGACAGTAATGAGTTCTACCTTATTGTACATTGTATTATTTAGACAATGTATTATTTATAACTGCGTGTACCCAGGTGAGAAGGCAGTTATTTCGGCGAACTGTGCTGTTTTGAAATCGTTCAAATCAAATACTGGTTGATTCCGACGAACTGCTATCCGTTCACTTTCCCGAAATTTCGGTCCGATCTTTTATACAAACCGCCACTACGTACTACCATAGATCTAAATAGATCTATGGTACTACAAATGAGCTTGGTTTCACCGGAAACGCTAACGATCTTTCTGTGCTATATCACCGAAATATTTCGGGCCGATCTGGTCAGAGAAACCAGGGCTTAAGATGGCAACCCTGAGTTCGCAGGTCGCAATCGAAAAAGTAATATTTTATTTTTGTATACAAAAGTACTGACAGTAATGAGTTCTACCTTATTGTACATTGTATTATTTAGACAATGTATTATTTATAACTGCGTGTACCCAGGTGAGAAGGCAGTTAATCGGCGAACTGTGCTGTTTTGAAATCGTTCAAATCAAATACTGGTTGATTCCGACGAACTGCTATACGTTCACTTTCCCGAAATTTCGGTCCGATCTTTTATACAAACCGCCACTACGTACTGCCATAGATCTAAATAGATCTATGGTACTACAAATGAGCTTGGTTTCACCGGAAACGCTAACGATCTTTCTGTGCTATATCACCGAAATATTTCGGCTGATCTGGTCAGAAAAACCAGGGCTTAAGATGGCAACCCTGAATTCGCAGGTTTCAACGGATCCAGCACCCTGATTGTCCACCGGCGGTCGCACACCGGCGAACGGCCCTACGCCTGCGCGGTCTGCGAACGTGGCTTCGCGCAATCCAGCTGCCTGACGGTGCACATGCGTCGGCATGGCGACCACCAGAAGCACCTCTGCCAGCTGTGCTGCAAGCGTTTTCCCACCAGCGAGAAGCTGAGCGAACACGCTAGGATCGCGCATGCCGACGAGGAACCGGCTGAGAAGGCGGAGAAGACTTAGCGGTTGCGTAGTGGCCGTTGGGGGCTTGGATCAGATGATTTGCGGAGATGAGACTGTCGTTGATGATACGGCGCTGATAAGCAAAACCCCCTAGTCAGACAAGCTAGTCTAGCTAGGGTCCCTTAGGGTCCCTTGATGGAAAATGACGTTAAAGTCATTTTAACAGGTTACGGACAGATTCTCGTCTCTCACTCTAAAGTCCTTATTCAATTCTGGGGATAAACACTAGATTTTTGACATTTGTTGTTTTTTAGGTTATATTGAGGTCATTGGCGTATTATACGGAATTTCCATATGGAATTCCTGATTCAACTATACCAAGATATAGATGAACAATACTCTAGTTTTAGAGTTTACTACTCCATAATCTTTGCGAGGTAGGGAACATATAAATTGTACTGAAAGCTTTATATACATCACCAAAAAATACTGTTCTTAGACTGTATACCAGGGTTAATTGAATATATTGGCTGATTGAATTCTGATTTCAAGCTGAGCAGCAGTTTATTTAAGAGCTGAATGAGCTGAGCCTTATGATTGAGAAATGGTGAAAACCTCGATGTGGGTATCTAAACTACTGTACTCATATCATGTGTGTTTCTTAAATTTTATAATCATTATTGTTCATCTATATCTATATCTATATCTTGGTATAGTTGAAACAGGAATTCCATATGAAAATTACGTATGATACACCAATGAACTCAATATAACCTAAAAATCAACAAATGTCAAAAATCTAGTGTTTTTCCCCAGAATTGAACAAGGATGGAAGTATATATATAACTGTTCC